GTATATATAAAAATATATGTATATAATATATACAATATACACGAACACATTAGATGTTAATAATTTACGAAGTGACTATTTGATTTTAACAGAATAAATAAAAATGGCACTTCATATCTCATTGGTGTTGTTAAAAATGCCTTGGGAAATATGTAAAACTTTTTTATAGCTTCTACTGGCACTGACCAGAAATGTTTTTTTTGTGACAAAGGTTGTAATTGTAATAAAAAAAAATATCTAGTTATTTGTAATAAAATCATTTCAAATTTTAACATTATTTAACAAACATTGCGTCCAAAACTGTAAAAATAAAATATTCTTGCAAATAATATCACCCTTTTGGCGACTTTAGCTAAATGTCTATACATGTAAGTATACAGACTATTAGCTATTTTGGAATAAATAACAAAATGCAAATAGAAATACTCCTTATGTATCAACTGACCACCCATATGTACAAATATAACCCCGCTAAGAAATATTATGCTGATACGATTGCTTACTATCACTTCTTTTTAAATCCATTGGGATTTTTCGATTGCCAATTCCATGTATCCTTGCACATTTCATCTATGCCTCTCGTGGCTGTCCAATTCAACTCTATTTTCGCCAACGAGGCATCCGCGAAACTAGCAGCTACATCACCTTCCCTTCTATTTACAAACTCATGCTTGATAATTTTTCCTGATGCCTTGCTAAAGGCATTTATAACATCCAAAACGGAATAACCTCTGCCTGTACCTAAATTAAATGCTTTCCAACCGAAAAACGTTGTATCGTTTAATTTTGTCAAAGCTTGTACATGACCAATTGCTAAGTCAGTAATGTGAATATAATCACGAACACCCGTGCCATCTGGCGTCGGATAATCATTCCCAAACACATATACCTTTTCTCGTCGGCCCACAGCAACCTGCAATTAACGATAAAAAAATTATCCAAACAAAAGTATTATTACTGAATACCTGTGCTATATATGGCATTAAATTATTAGGAATTCCTGAAGGATCTTCACCAATTTCACCAGACTCATGTGCACCAACTGGATTAAAATACCTCAAAAGAATTACTTTCCACTCCTAAAATAGTATAGGTAGATTTTAGCAACCAAATTTCATGTGTACATTTTTAGAGTATTGGCTGATAGCAGTATATCTTTTTATCTTAGGTCAACTTTAAGTACCTTGTTATCTACCACATTCATTGAACAAATATATATATAATTATAATTTTTTCTGTATGACCTTAAGTAGTTCAGATAGTTGATATCTTTAACAATTTCACAAAAAATGATAATTCCTTTACAAGTTTACAACTCAAAGTATATATTCATACAAACAAATAATTAATAAGTAATTAAATTATTACATTAAATACTTCTGCACACTTAAGATATCATATAAATTTATGAATAAATTATATCAACTTACATGATCTGATACACAAACATCCTTCAGTATCTCTTCAACAAAATACTTTGTTTTACCATAAGGATTAGTGCATCCTTGTCCAGTAGGATGTTCTTCTGTAATTGGCAAAAATTGAGGTATTCCATATACAGTTGCAGATGAAGAAAATACAATCTTTTTTACACCATTGCTTTGCATAACCTAAAATTACAAAATATTAAAATAGCCATGTATCTATATTATTAGTTATAGGTAAGTGTACTTTTTTTAGCCATATTTGTTTCATTACACTAGTATATAATTTTAATTTTATTTTGTTAAATACACCAAGTTACATACAGGGATTGGCTTCCCTTTGTAACATTTTCTGACATAAAATAAAAAAGGAAATAACAACTCTATAACATTACCTCAAAAAGGGTACTAGAACCAGCAATATTATTTTGATAGTAGGTAAGAGGAATCTGAACTGACTCCCCTACAGCTTTTAAAGCAGCAAAATGAATTACAAAATCGATACTGTGCTGAAAAATTAAAAGAGTCAGTAACTTTAAAGCTATTGTTTATTATTCCTTACCACTTTAAATATTTTATCCAGGGAAGTCTTATCTCGGATATCAACATTGTAGAATATAATCTGCTTACCGGTAAGTTTCTCCACACGTTTTAATGATTCAGGCTTGTCATTTTTCTCTGCATAACAATTAACCAAGTTATCAAGTGCAATAACAGAATAATTGTTGTTCAACAATTCTAAAACTGTGTGCGATCCTACATAACCAGCCCCTCCAGTAACAAGAATGGTTCCTTTCCCAGTCATTTCACTTGCCGGTAGCCACAATCTACAATGGTAAATGTAATCAAGAATATGATAAATTTTTTGCAAAGCCTCTACCTACGTGGCAAAGTACCCGAGCGGTATTATTATATAATACAAACAAGCGAGACCATATATAGCTTTCTCTATTGAATCCATTCTTATCAGTTAAAATTTTAACGAGCTTTATTAAATTGATATTGATAACAAAACTGTTTAATCTATTTCTATACATAACCAAGCACTACAAAAAAACACGTACACACATGTTTGACATTGACATTAACCTATGACATAATTAACCCCTTTTGCCATCTTTTGCATATACTACTAACGTGAAGTTATCTGCAAGTAATATTTCACTTAAATTGAATTTGATCAGCAACATTATTACAATTCATTATTGTATTTTTAACATGTACATTTTGTCGGTGACAATTTTTTTGTTAGGTTTTCGTCTGAATTTTTGTTTACCATCTGTCACTTGCGTCATGATTATATGTCATATGCATAGACATATATTAATGGACGTGCTTTAGCCGTATGTCGTTGTAATAATTTCTTGGCTGGAAAAGTGAGGGAGATGACGTACGGTTTCGAACTAGTGCTATCTCTGTCATGATACGCGTACGCACTATCATGAGACAGATGGATATTGTCCGAAACTTCGATCCATCTCTTTCTTTTATTGTACCACAATTCTGACCGCTAAGGCATATCCATTACTAAACGTCGATGGTCATATGCATTGCTCTTTAGTTATCTATGCTTACTACTCATCAGTCAATAGGTAGTTCATCAGTGGTTTGATGTTTGACGTGCTACAGGTTTCATATAAATTGTTACTGTGCATATAATTCAAAAAATCAAGAAACACCTAAAAATATTCATACAAGTATTTACAAACTGACATATGTGTTTCTGTGTTCTGGGTCGCTTGAAAGTAACTTTTCATTAAATGGCTCCAAAACGTAACAAAAGTAAAACAGAGGACGTGATAGATTCAGGAGACGAATCTGAAGAGTATAGAAAGAAAAGGGATCGCAACAATTTGGTATTGCAGTACTTTAATATGTTGTACCTTAACTGCATAATTGGTTTTAATTTGTTTTAGGCAGTGAAAAGAAGTCGAATTAAGTCAAAAATAAAGACGCAAGAAACCATGAAGAAGGTAAACCAGTTGCGCAACGAAAATTCAATTTTGGAAGAAAAAGTGAAAAATCTTACAAAAGAATTGGGCTTTTTGAAAGAACTGTTTCTGGCTCATGCTAGCAACTCTAGTGACAAAGCTAAATTTGAAAATATTGATTTACAAAGACTCTTAGCTGATGATAGTACACTTACTGAAAAGGAATAAAAAAGCTTTTATCAGTTTATGAAATTGGTTTATAGATATTTATGTGTAAAGTATAAAATCTATTAAAAAAACGAATTGTAGTGTTAAGTCACTTTAAAAACAACAGGTATTTTTGCATTATTATATGTTATTATACTAATTGTAAGTGTTTGTCAAATATGTTTTGGTTCTTAACTGTAGGGGAGGCTGGAGTTGGTTGGCATTTTGACTTTTCTATTTTTTTATGCAATACCTGGAAAATACCTGGAAAGATCTTGAAGAAAGTGGTGAATTGTTTAAATTTTTAACTACGAAAACATGTTGGGTCGTTAACTAAATATGTGTTTAGGTCATCTCAAGACATTTTGCAATAATGCCAACTAACCCTAGGTTCGGGATAATTGACATCTTTATGCAAAACACTATCTTTGGGAAAAAACTTTGGTAATTTTCTACTTTAGGAACAGTACCTCCAATTTTATGCAATTTTTGTATGTTGTTACAGTTGATTGTGCTGATTAAATATACATATATGAATATTTTGGGCACATATTCTGGAGGCAACCTAACTTCATTATTTTCAATGAAACACCCTGTGTATTTTTACATTTTTCGTATGTTTGTTTAATTTTAGGTCGACTTTGTTAACAGTTCTCTGAGATATGCAACAAATGATTTCATATCTTTGAATGAGATCAAATAGCATATACCTAAATCATAAAAGCTAAAAACCTGCAGTTTGGACGGTTCATTTTAACAAGAATTACCGTATTTTTTTCGCTGTAGGCAAAATGTGTATGTTATTCAGAGGCAGAAATATCAAAACCTACTTTTGACAATATTATAAGACGAACAACTATTTCCCTTTCTATTGTTATAAGGTTTTAAATATTTATCTCTAACAGTTTTTGTTTCAATTTCAATTCGTCTTATATGATTGCCAGAAGTATTAACAGGTTTCGATATTTTTCCGAATAATATACAGATTTTACCCATAGCAAAAAATATGCGGTAATTGGTTCTAAAACGAAGTGTTCTAACTGCAGGTTTTTAGATTTTATGAATTAGATGCTATTTGGTTTTATTCAAAGAGTTGAAATCGTGTTTGTTTTTTCAAAAACAGTCGAATATCTCAAAAACTATTATTGATAAATATAAAAAATTGTTAACAAAGTCGATCTAAAATTAAACAAGGAAACCAAAAATGTGAAAATATACAGGGTATTCCATTTAAAATAACGAAGTGGCGCCCAAAAAAAATGGAACACCCTGTATGACTGAAATTCTGCTCCATATGTTTCCAGACCATTTTTATAAAAACATTTTTTTTTATTGAAAGTATTATAACAGAGTTATGGACGAAACCGCCTTAGGTAGAACACCCTGTATACAGACATAAANAACATAATAAATTTAAAAAAAAATCGGAGGTGTAGCCTCTAAAGCAAACAATTACCAAAACGTTTTAATTTACCAATCTTTTAGGTTGCTTACTTTTGTAAAGAATGAATTCTTAAAAATTAAATTCTTCCATGAAAAAATAATACTGTAGAAACGAATTCTGCATAAATGGATAAACTACTGTATGAATTTATACAAATAAACAATGAATTCTTGAAGAAAAATTAATTCTATTTAAAATTATAGCTATTTTAAATAATAAATATAGAATTAGCTCAATGTTTGGTATAATTCAGGAATGTAGGATTTGGACATTCATGAATTTGAACAAGTGTACTCAAATTTCGTACACTTTTGCTTTATTCATAAAAAATTTAATCATGCTTGGAAGAGTCACGCAGGAAATACTGTGTTTTATCGCTTTTGTTGCTAGCGAGTAATTTTTTCATGGAAATTCTTTTTTATCCTGATGAACCTGTAGATCAAATTGAGACTTCGTCAGTGGTGGTTTTCAAAAGAGTGGTTAATTGTGGTTACATGCGATTATCATAATCTTTAGTTTTTGATGTTGAAAATCGTGTGTGTCTAACCCCCACATAGGTGACCGTATGGCCCTTAGGCTGATGTTTTGTGTTATAAATATTTGAACGCAACAAGACATGTGTACATATATATGTTTATGCATATATATTTAATCTTTGATTTATGGGTATATCGCTCCTTATTCAGTCAGTAAGCCGTTATTTTGTTACCGAAGGAGAAGAATCAATCCAAGATCGCAGGCATCGAACCCTTTTAAAAAAATGAAAACAAATTAATATTCATTTACACAGGCTCCTACCCAAAGCGGGGGGTTGCTCCCCCCCCCAATATTTTCTTCAGTTTACTTTTTCAACAACAAAACACCTGTAGATAAAACTGAGAATCCTAAAGATCATTCGTGTATACGGGTTTTAATAAAATTACAAAAAGGCATGGGGTCCATAAAAATAATATCGGTCCTTTGTTCGGTGTTTAATGAATTCTCGTAAGTAGCAGAAGTTAACATTACAGTATTATTAAAAAATCTGACTTCTCGACAATATTTCGAGTCAAATAGCTCAGTAAGTCGAGAAGCAGTTAATCGCATACAATAGTAGGTACATCAATAACGACTTGAGGGGATAACTCGTAAATCTGTTTTAATACGCAAAAATAGTAAGATACCAAAGAAAGGAGGGATTAAACATTGTAGACGTAATATACATTATTAAAAGAACCAGAGAATCCCTTATTTCAATAAGGTAAGAGTAAAATGTAATTATAAACATAATAGAGTGCCAAATTTTTTGCAAGAAAAGTTAAAATTAACAGAACAGGATTTTCAGACATCGAAAACGAATAATTAAGGCAAAAATTGATAACTGTGAATCCAATGTAGCTAGCTTTGATATAAATATGTTTTATATAAAATAATTTTTAAGCTTTTAAGATAAAATTACGATCTTTTTACAAGATGAACTCAAAATGGTTGAAGAACGTTTGAATCCAATACCAAACATTCTCACAAACCCTTTAGACAAAAACAAGTGAAAATACTGAAAAATTGACTGCTATATCTACCTGATCATATGGCTGAGTCATAACCGCTTCCACGCAATTAGAGATATTATTTGATATTTGCTCTTTTATGTAAGGCATCGTAAAGGTAATAATATTAACTTACTGTATTAACAATGTCTTTCGGGTTCGATTCCCGGCGAGATGTGACAGCAGTAAATAAATGCATATTTTTGCGGGTATGTGTAAGTACAACAATGTTGTTGCGCCCCCCCCTCTCTCAAACAGAATACTTCGCTAGGGCCCTGCTTTTACAATCACGAAACTTTCTCTTTTCCTATTAGACCTTAGGCGATTGGCATTGAATTTTATAATTCTACCCGGATTTAAGCATGAATTTTTCGGACGAATAGTCAAACTACCTGTGTCAACCATAACCTTACAACTCACAGGGATATCTAAAACAAGATGGATACCACACACTCAACCATAAACAAAATGCAAGACCGTGTTCCAGTCATTCCTCTTTATTGTATAATTAAATAATCAAAATAAAAAACTATTATGATACATGTATGTATGCAACCACAGTTTACCACCAGAACAAAAAAATACGATGAAAAAATTACTTGCCAATCAAAAAAAATCAGGAAACAGGGGTCGTTTCTTCGTATCGCTTATAAGCAAACTGAAGCTACATTGTATATTAAAGGGTGCACCTTTATATAACTAGCTTAGGTCTTTATAATAACAATAAATGTAGTATTTGAACTAGAAATGCAATAAAGTGTTATATTTTTAAAAATTCAGTCGCGTATATTTAGTTATAGGTACTTACAATAAGAGGTCACAATTTCCTTCATACCGCTGAAATTCAACTTGGGTTAAGGGGCGACCATTTTTTACAGGAGCCATTTGATCAGTGTGAATCCTGCAACAATTCATTAAAATAGTATTGATATAGTCAGTTATGATTGTAAATACGGGAATACCAACGAGTTTTGCTATATTATAAAGGGTATAATACGAATCAAAATAAAAAAATCGTGCTTTTGAATTTTAAAATAAATGATTATGTGCAATGATTTAGTAAAGTAGTGGATAAATTGTGTACTACTATATAGGGGATTTCTGGAAATTTATAATTGACGTTGAAATACCTCGATTGGATTGGTTAAAATGGTTGGCCAAATGTCTCACTTTTATTCGTGATCTCGTGCTGTGATTGGTTCTGTAAATTTACCGGGTGCGTTTATTTCATGTTTACACAAATTTTAAAATTGTTAATGTTTATTTAAAATACGAAGTTAGAAGTGTCGTTGCTCCTATCCAACTAGTGGAACGTAGGCTGGTGAATATGTATGATAGGGAACATAGACATATATTAATGGACGTGCTTAGCCGTATGTCGTTATAATAATTTCTTAGCTCGAAAAGTGAGGGAGATGGCGTATGGTTTCGGACTAGTGCTATCTCTTTCATGACACGCTTACGCACTATCGGGAGAGAGATATTGTCCGAAACTTCGTTTCATCTCTTTCTTTTATTGTACCACAATTCTAACCGCTAAGGCATGTCCATTAGTAAACGTCAATGATAGGGAACAGTTACGTTTGATGATTTTTATAACTAAAAACCTAAAAAGCATTATGCACTATCGCTTTATTAAAGGGAGTGGCTCCAGCATGGTTAGCCCATACTTATAATTTTTAAGCATGCACAGGAACGAAAGAGGGGGATATTAACAAAAACAGTAAAGATCACATCTGGGTCTATATTCCTCTAATCAAAAGGTTCTGTACATGTACATGAGCACAATACTCAATTCGTGGGTGTTTTTTTTTGCAGAAAACACTTCCTTTGTTACAAGCTATTGACGATTAGGCTCATCTCTATTGCAACTTCTAACTTCTATGAATTTTAGAAAGCGTGAAGTCTCTAGAAATAGTTATCGCGACATCGAGTGGAGGAGTACGAGAACGAGTTTGAGGTGATACAAAGCAAAGAAGTGAAAAAGTGTTCTTATAAGTGATGAGTTGATAACTAATTAATGGTAGAAGTGTTAATTAGACAGCAAATTGTTAAATAAAAGTAGTAAAAGTGTAAAAAAGTGATTAAATTCGTGAAAATACCTATACAACTTATTAGAAAAAGGCTAGTACCTAGAGTGAATACTGTTACACAACCAAGTGAAGGAATACAGGATAACAAGGGTTCATGCATAGAACATGTCTTTATCATTAATAAATTGTTGTTCAGTAGTATTTTATCTTTTTCTATATATTATTCTTTAATTCATAAATGTAATAAGTTTTCCCATTTTTTCCTACTTCATTTCTGGAACAAACAGAAATACGTTCTTTAATCCAAACAAAAATAACATTCTTTACCTCGTTTTATAGCCATTTCAACCCTAAGCTTTGAATGTATTATGTATTCTTAACGGCAAAAGATTCTATAGTTGAGACGATCAAAATTGGCAAATGCCGCAATAATTTATCTGTGAGAATGGACGTATCTTCTTTCTTGTTTCCGCTTGGGGCTAAAGTCATTTGCTTCGTGTCGAACACGCCCTTGTTAAGTTAGGAAATGCTTCATGAATAGTACAGACAAAATAAAAAGAGAGAACCGAATAACAGTATGCGGTACAGCGGTTGTTATAGGTTGTTTGGGTACGCTAAAACATCAGGGTCGGCTTTATAACTCCCTGAGTGGAATTAAATCTTTAAACAAGCATCTTTGCTGTACTAAATTCTGTTACACATCAATTGGTGTAATGTTATTCCTTTTTGTGAGGTTTTAGAAGAATATTTAAGACTAAGCCATATGTCACTAGTGAACGAAGATTAAATACCGTCAATTAATTATTATCTACCACATCACGCCGTGATAAAGGAGTCCACTATGACCACCAAAATGCAGGTTGTTTTTGACGGCTCTGCAAAATAGGTAGTACCATGATTGTCTTTATATTTATCCGACAATTCAATCTGGTTTTTTTTCGTTGTTAGTACGATCCAGAAAGCACCCTATCGTTTTAACAGCTGACCTAAAAAAATGTACCGCCAGGATCTCTAGCACCATACTAGCGATTCGTTCACCAACCAGTTGAAAACGAAGTACAAACCTATCCCAAAGCAGCAAGGATCATAAAAGAAGATTTTTATGTCGATGACGTTCTTACGCGAATAAATAATAAGTATGAAACAATCACTCAGAAAACAATTGAAACAAATTCTTT